TAAATCAAATTAGTATACCTACTCGTCTAACAATGACAAATGAGCATCTGTTATTAATATTAAACAGCAGATGATTGTATTTGACGGTCAATTGTTTCCACATCTCTTACAGACAACATTGATACCTACATACGAGACTTTTAACAGAATGAATTATGTTCACAGTTTAAAGTAACAAAAGTCATCAATTTACTAAATTGTGACAAATGAATCGGTCGTATTTGCATTGTTGACACAAATCCAACAAGTGGTTAACTAGGGGATTGTATTCAAAATCACTACGCTGAAAGCTATGGTCGTTGCACCTGGTTTACTCGACCGTGTAATTGGTACGGCCTACGCCTGCCTGTGTTTTTGTTGTGGCTGTATAACTTGCTAATGAAGTCATTGTCAGGGATATCGATGGGAATGAAAGTAAAGATACAAAAAACATTTGAATGCGGTTATAGCAGAAGTGAGGTATGAATTAGCGAAGTGTGATTTCCGATAAACTTAACCCACAATGAAACTGTTCTACGATCCGATGAATCTGTCTCATGCAATAATAACTTTTGTTAACCACATTAGCACATGGGTTGAAGACAAACAATTCTTAAACGCCATACGTCAGTGCGATGACGTAAAATACACATATGAGCCACACAGTGCTTTAATTACATAATTGTATTACGCAAGGGACCAATAAATGACAGAGAAATACTAAATGTAACCTGTTAGTAATTATTTTGAATCCGTGTTCATAAAAGAGCTTTCTTGTAACACCCACGTAAACTTCCAATTAAGTAAGTACGATAAAATTTCTAAAAACCGTAAAATTCTGATGTGATTATCGGAAGACAAAAATTACTCATGTCATTAAAAAGTATATCGTAGTCATAAATTGGTTTTATGCTTATGAGCTGTCATGTGTACCTTCTCATGTCTGATATCATTTACTTGCATATGGCAGATGGGATCACTATAAATTAGAGAGGAATTTTAAGTAGCAAATAGGATAAAGTTTCACAATCCCACTGCCTATGAAAGTACAAAAAGAATAATTAGTTCAGAACGTCAACGTCCATTCAGAAGAGTATAATTTGTCTTTATAAACTGACATTTGGGATCTGTACTTGTTTGTAGAATACATGATTGATGATATACCACGTGTTTCGTGCGAGTAAATTAATGAAAACGACCTCAAACTTATTACGAAATAATAATTTCCATATGTCATATCCATGATAATTTCTGGCGCCACTACGCCAGTCATGACTTTATGGAGAATCTTAATGCTATTAAACGCACATAAAGAACTGGTTGACGATAAATTTCGTACCAATTAAAAATAATGTTCAAAAACACACCGGACCAAGTAAAGCTTACGTTTTATGACATGGCTAGTTTGACAACATGTGGGGATATGAGGATTACTTGAAGTGTTAATAATTGAAACTGGCGTTCTTGTAAAAGATTACATAATAAGATTACAAGCAGTATAAACAGAATTTCATTTTACTCTATTGATCAAAGGTTTATTTTACTTCGGCAACAAATTATGGACCCTCGCCTAGTTGAGATCACCCAAGAAAGGGGCGCTAGTTTTATGTGGGTAGTTGCGAATTGCAGGTCATTGGCCCGATGCGCCTTGAGAAACTAGGTTTCATTTTAATAGCCTTTTTGTATGTAGTAACCACAACTGGCATGCCAGAAATTAATAGGTAATTTGTTATTTTTCATACATAGACTACATAATAGCATTTACAGATGTTTTGTTAATCATGGAATAATTCAAGTTAAGATGATATTTCAGGAGATAAAGCACTGGTTTCTTTTTCGTTTATGTTTACTAATGGTTAACTAATCACATAATTTTACATGTTAGAAATCGAAAACTTAAAATGTTTTATCGATAAATTCTAACGGATATTTATTATATTGAGACCATTTAGAGAAGTTCTAATTTTAGTTAACTTACGCCAAAGTGGCATATGCAAATACCAGGCTGTTTGCCGGCGACAGACAGTATGCTAATATGACGCATCCATCGCTAGATCTAGGCCACATTTCCTTTGGGGAAGAGTAGATAAAATAGCAAATGGTGACGTATTTGTCATGTGGCGCGAGTTTATTTTTGCTAATTTCGGTTTAAAACAATGAAAGCATATTTCAAACATCTTCTATATTGTTATTTGTTGACAAACTATAGGTAGATGTTTAGATAAAGAAGCATACATGTAAAGTGTATAATAAACAAACAAGATTAGATCCGTTTTTAATGCATATTAGTTAATAAAATGCTGTTATCTTTTAGAAAGTTAGCTCGGAGAAGGCCACAACAATTAACCACGTTTATGATTAAGATAAGCACGCGAACTAAATTTAGTTTGAAAACTGAGACAGGGTGCTACAGACAGGCTGTAGTTATGAAATCTCTGACACGCAAAATATGCGTAAGGTCACAGGTTAAACACGCAATGCAGTTGTAAGTAATACGATAAACGTGTTGTACATGTATTACATCAGTTGGATGCAATTATCGAACAAAAATTATAGTAGTTTCTATTGTACGGTTATACCCTTTTCCCCTTGTCTACCGATTGCAGTTTCCAATTTGTATTTTAAGGAAAAATGAGGGAGATGAAGATAGTTGATGTAAAAAGTTATTAGTTTGATTAATATTCAATTGATGACTGGCGACGGACGTGCGTCGTGTGCCACTGCCGATGTGCATGATTAAGATTCGTCGTGAATAACAAGTATGACAGAATTTTAAATTGTTTCGGTCATATTCGTTTCATTATCATGCGCGTGAGAGTTTATAGCAAATAGGAAAAGTGAAACGGCCGTAAAATAAAGCCATAAAATACTGTCATATAAAATTTATTACTATTATCAGTAGATTCTGCAATATTAGCGATAATATTGTTTATTTTATAGTATCTAACCCTACAGATAAATCAAATTCACTTGTTGGTGAGCTAGATTTAATAGAAATGTTTAATTTATTCATAAGTGACTGAAAAATAATCGAGTATTTTACGAGGAGGCTGTTTAAATATCATAAAGTAAAGAAAACCGTAACATATGGGTTTGAAGAACATTTATTTGAACCCAGCCAAGCAAATTAAAACTTATAATCAATCGAGACACCATTATTTTTGGTTCTGGATACTTACAACGGAACTTGCAAACATAGCAATGAATGACAATGAAGACTGTCATAATTTTTGATGAGCTATTAGTCCAAAACTTTGACCGCTATACTGTAAGGTTTCACGTTGTGGTTATATTGCATCCGCTACAATTTACCACAATTTTGTGGTATGCAGGTACCTAGCCTGAGTAAAGTTAAGCAAACGGGACTTGTTATTATTTAAACGAATTATACTGTAATACTTCATCAAGTTTGTTTATAGAAGTTAGTTATACTAAATCTGAACTTTAAAATCAGAAACCATAAAAGTTTTTGCTAAAAGCAAGCAAAACAAAATTTGAATAAGGACACCATATGCTTGATCACAAGGTGTTCCCTTACAGTGTCCTAAACGCAAGGTGTGGTAGACATCTGCGGCCAGTTGCGGTCGAATCACGGTTGAATCAATGCAAACACCTGTCGCGATGCCGCAATTTTTCATTTGATGGCTTTGGCATAATGGTAGTTTGTTATTGTAAAATAGTTTATAAATGTAATCACTATTAAAGTAAATCTATATTTGTAGAAAATACACCTATTACGGCAAGACATCCTTATGTAGTGATGTGTGTTTTGTTTACTTATAATAAATTATCCTCATTTTATTACAAATTTAAATTCTTAAACCAGCAACTATCAACAATTTAGCTCACCTCTTGAGAGCTGTTTGCGAATTGTTCCCATTTAAATTTTACGCGTTTCCCAGCCTTCTGGCATTTGGGTCATCTGGATCGAATCCAAAAGACTTAGTTTGACACCGAAGAAAAATTAGTTATGTTTACAATACGACTTTGTTTCATGTAACGGTGGAATTTATGATGGACTGGTTGATTTATTTTGCAAATCCATTATTTCCGATGTAATGAACCTTCTTTTTAAAAACGTTGTGATGTACAAACTTACGACACCCGTCTGATTTTAAATAATCCAAATGTTTATGATATATTGAAACAATTACGGGTGGCAGTATTACAAAAGAAAAGATTGAAACAAAAGAGAGAGAAAAACAGAGTACTAAATAATTGAATGTCATCGGATTTTCATAGCTCTCAAAGGAATACAAAAGGCTCACATAAGAAAGCTTTTTAATTTTCACTATAAAACAATATGTGAGACTTTTATTGTTCTTCCGACCTGAGTGATGAGAATATGCAGATGCTCGGGGAAACTGTTTTTGTACGTGATTGATGTTTGAGAGATATACATTATACATGGAAGATATAAAGCAAGAAACTTGATCGGACGAGAAACCGTGTATGCTGTATGTTTGTGTGTACGTATTATACTTAAGGTACAAGCGGTGTAATATGTATACCTACTGCTGTTGTTGTATGTGTATACGCTAGACAATTCCCACATTCAATATTTAGGACGTCATGTCACCCTGTTTCATTTGGTGATGTAATTAGGATCTTATAATAAGCATAAATTCAACGGAGTTACGGTCGCGTGTCGTATCGTCTCCCTTAACTTTAGGTTGGAAACAAAGAGGGCAGGGTGTGAGGCGGGGGTGCGATGCGTCATCGCGACCACTCCGCTACGCACCCCCTGCGCACCCTCGCCCCTCGAAAACATTGATCGATTCCTCTACCACAAATGCCATGCGCAGAGCCCGCCCTTTTTGTTTATATTTTCTTTTATTTTCATCATTTAATTTAGTTATTTGTAATTATTTTACGTATCGGGATCAATATTCACTCAAAATTTTATGATATGTATGGTATGGCTATTGAAAAAAGTATGGTTGATGATTTCACAGATGATATCATAATACCTAATTACACGCTCTAATTAACAGTTAATTAAGTGCTAAATTGGTACTCACTGGCATTCGTTCATAATCTCCTCCTGGCTGCGAACTTGCACTGGAGCCAACTTTTCCACGCTCTCTTCATAGTTTCCGAAACACTTGGTGATCTTCTCATCAAAAGTGTTCACCAAATCTTCCAGTGAACCGGAGAAAGTCTCCGTGAAATTGTCTCCTTCGCCGTTTTGCATAATATTGTCCTGTTTGCACTTCACCGGTTTAGGTTCCTCATTATCGTTTATTTTGTTGGAGTCAGTTTTCATTTTGACCATTTCACTTTTGACATTTTTAATGTTGTTAAGACGTATGTCGTTACCATTTATGGTTTTTTGTGGGTAGTCAGCAGTGGAAAGACAATCGTCTGCCTCTTCGATTTGCGCGAGAGGCGCTTCGAACTCGAGCTCGGCCATTCTGCCAGCCGCTTCTCGCATGCCGTACAACCACTCGCGTTGTTGGACGCGCGTACACTGAACGCCGCCGACCGCTTGCAGCTTGATGCTTTACGCCCGCGCCGCGCCGTCCCTCGCAGACCTGAGTTTATGAAGTCGATTTCATACGGCGAACCCGGCAGCGATAGATCTATAGAAGCTTAAATTTTGTGCTTGTAAAGTATTTGCTTTGTTGCTTGCTTGAAAGTCTATCAAGTTCTGAATTTCTAATTCCTTTATAGATATTTGACACTGCACATTCTTGTTATTTTAATTACTATTATGTTTTTAAATCAAAGTCACCATCATTTAAGGAACATGCAAGAAGAGATTGATTTTGAATTTAGACGAAAGAGAAATTTAGAAAAGTAGGTAGGTATGTCACAATCGTATCCATCATTAGGTGATCCTTTTTCTTTTTAAGAGGATTGAAGATAATATATGTGTAAAATGATTTTATGCACTACATAAGTACGTAGCAATAATGTAGCCACATATCAAATAAAGCAATAAGTAGGCATTTTCTATCTATTTAACGAATTTAGCAAAGATTTCAATAAAAAGTTATATCTACCTGGGTACGGTACCTATCTAGTTAAAATTTGTTTATGTCGTCAGCAACGACAGCAACGGTAAGTCTAAAAATTAATTAGGATACTCACAGAGGTTTAGTTTATCTACCTACCTACCTTTTGTAGGTACTTACTTTAAACTACACCCGTAAAAAAAATTTTATCTAATTGAAGGCTAGCTCTTGCTATATATTTATAGTATTGTATAGGTACATACCCAATAGCACAGGCATAGTTAAACAAAAAGTAAAATGGTTGTGTTATTGTTAACTGTTTTATAAACTCTATTCGACAAATTGTAAATTTTAGAGCAAAATTTTACGCGCGCTGCAGATTGACGTTTTTAAGTTAGTTGCCATAAATTAAAAAGTATAAGTTCATAGAAAAGAAAAGAGTTTCATAGTGTATAATTTTATATCTTTGAAAGTGTAATTATTTATTGCATGTTTGGAATTTATAACAAATGATGAAATCTGTTTTTAATTAAATCATTCTAATAAATATAACGAAGTATTTCAGCAAAACAGATCCACAGAAATGTTTGGCGTATTTGCATCATGGTAGCATTGTACTTCTTAATGTCAATCTTGATTTTGACAATAACATTCATCGTAACGTCAAGGTCGGGAATAAAAATGGATATTGCAAAATAATAACATGAACAACTTTCAAAATATTATTAGGTAGATAAATTTTATCGGGTAAATCGTTATGTTTTTTTTTAAACGATTTTATGACATCAATGCAATAAAGGCGTTGCTGAGGTGCTACAGGTAAAAAAACAAAAATCATAACAGTCACGAGTTCCAAAATAAATCACATATTTTAATGCGTCATTTATTTTCAGTTTAAGCAGAAAAAATCATTATGAAGTCCTCAATTTACGAAGAAATTGTTCCGATAAAGAAATCAAGGAAGCTTTCATACAAATGAGCAAAGAAGTAAGTTAATTCTTTCGTAGAATGTAATGCTTTTTATGTAAGTCATTCTCCTTTGTTCTTTTACATTTACGCGATATTGAAAAAAAATCAGCTTTTATAACAATTAATATCCTAGTGTACAAAGTTGAAACAATGTAAATATTTTTCTTAACCAATTATTTATAATTAAAATTAAATTGGATAACCTGTAGTCTGCTTGAACGTAGTCCATACCTATATAGTAAAATTTTGATAGGCTGTGAGAGAACAATACGTTCTATGTAGAACAATGTGTTCACCCATCAGTTTATGAGATCTTTCTATAACTTGTGACGTGACATTAAATGTTACATTTATGATGAATTTTGCATTATCCGTCTTTTACAGAAGAACTAATGCCATTCAATATTGTATTTACATAGTCATTTTAGAGATTGATTTGTAAAACTACAATTACTAAGTTAGGAAAATAAATACTGTTTATTAATACGGTTTTTCGAAAATTTTGTTTTTTAATAACATAGTCTCATCTGCTTATATATGAGACTACATGAGTGGTTAAAAATTTAATGTACATGGTATGTGCACCTCTCAGATTAAAAGGCGTGACAATAAGTGCTCTGTGATTTGTGTTGTTTTGTAAATATACTATTTTCAGTTCCATCCTGATAAAAACAAAGATGTAAGGGCACAGGAAAAGTTTGTGCGTATTCTGGAGGCCTACAATGTCCTTGGGAAGCCCAATAGTCGTGCGCAGTATGACAACATGATAGAGATAGAAACTTCTGGGTCCTCTTATATGTATAGACCACATGTGCCACACAAGTAAGAAAATAGATGATTTTCTTATTAATTCATTGATATTTTTACTGCTGAACCATAATTTTGAGTCAAGGATCTTAACAAAAAATGTTTACTCTGGTTTACTGGTGTGTAAATATAAGCAAACCACAATCATTTTCTAGAGAGGCAGTCAAGAGGGATAACAATTATCCCTACCTTTGGCTAGCAGTTTTAAATAACTTATCATCAACAGCCTATAAATGCCCACTGCTGAATAAAGCCTCTTCTCACACGGAGGTTTGAGAATTAATCACCACGCTTGCTCAATGCGGGTTGGCGATTACAAGGTATAAGCCCAAGTTTCCTCACGATGTTTTCCTTCACCGTTTGTCAATTTAATAACAATGTATGATGAACTAATCAACTATGAAATGATCAACAAATAATTATCTATTCCAGTGTCCGCAAGAACCCACAGTACAGCTCCTACTACGAAACCTATGCAAGGACGTCAAGCAGGAATGAAAACACAAATAATAATTACTATGGTGTGTCTGGAGTGAAGAAATTACCAAACTATGTCATCATTGCTATGTGTACTGGGGTGGCCCTGATTGGAGTTTTCCTGCAAGTCTTTGTAATAAGGTACCTTGCTTTTTATATCCGCTTATAAAGGTATTTTTAACAAGCAATAAATGACTGCACTATTGGTAACTAATTGTGTACCAATATGGGCCAAATGAGGCAATGCCAGAAATGTTAGGGTATGTATCTGCAATATAACTGCTATACACGGTGTAAATGGAACACTCCTGCAAAACGCCAACAGGTGACGGTTTAAAATAAGGTTTATTATCATAAAAGTAAGGCTTTAAATGTTTTTTTTTTAATGTAATAATAGTTGCAATCAACTGCTCAAGGCTGATGTTGAATGAATACCATGAAAACAAAGACAATTAAATAATAATTATAATTTCTTTTTGTCAGCATTTCGTGTGCATTCCGTTTACTCGGTGTATTCCCAGAAGGGAATATATTCTAGAAGCACTTTTAAATACAATATTCAGCTAATTATTTTAAGAAATGAATGAATGACATGCGTCGAAAACATCTATATGTATTTATGTATTTGGAGCACATTACATACAAAAGGTACACCTATCTGTTTCCAACTACTCATATTGTCGCTTCATTCGACCTAGTTTACACGATAGTAATAACCGCGCGTTGCGTAATTCTGCCATTATTATTTAGTTAGGTACTATAGACCTTAATAAAATTACATCTCTCCTCTCAAATTATATAACGTGTACATGGGCACACGTTTTACTCACTTTTGTTCTTTATGACCGCAATGAGCAAGCTTATAGGACATTTATTGGGACATACAATGGGTACAGATGTAGACTATGTGCAAAGAAATTCGGTCCTAAAATGCAGGCAACACGGTGGTACCTGGTGTTGCCGGGATAAAAAGTTCTTGTTTGCACCTGGCAAGGAAATACTTCCGTATTATTATACGAATATTTAATTTTTTCTATTTCCTTCTATTGATAAGAAGCTGCATTTATCATTGTATTTTTCAGAAATTCATACGTAGCGCAGCGTAAACAAGCACAAGAAAAATCTCAACGTCTTGCAGAAGAATTGGACAAAGTCCGGGCTGCAGCTCAGACAAATGGAAATGAGGTAATTATTGACTATACGGTTATTTTATTACTTAGTCTGGTTAACCACAAAATGCATCATTTGTGTTATTACGAACACTTTCTATGGCTGTGCGGCGCGCAAATCCGAAAGCGTCTTCGAAAGGGTGGTAATAAAAAGAATGTTATATAGTGGACGATATTTCGTTGTTTACAACATAGGTTCATTTGGTTCAAGCCATTAATTGATTACAGCTTACAATTTATTTGTGTTAGCAACGTACTTGTAACATCTTTGGTGTTGATTTGTCTGCAACATCAGCCGTTTATTTTAAATGGGAATAGCCCGCCACAGCCCTGCAACTCCTGTAAGCCAGGATCTACAGTAGATACAACCAATAAAACACCGGAACACTGAAGTCCGGCGCATCCCAAGGACATGAGTAACTGTCTTGGTTCCCGCAACGAAGTGAATCAGAAGATATTATAAGAGGAGAAGAAGAAAAAACTATAGTTTCCACTTCCCTCGGTGAATTACAACAAACATCAGTCGTTTGTCGCCCTACAACAATGGTAGATATAAATTGGCTCTAATTCACATCCATTAACATCTCTTTTTCTTTGTATTTTCAGTTGCAGACCCGTCTACTGCTTGACAAGATCGTGGCAGCGGCGAACCCAACAGTCGCTACAGCGTCATTAGGACAGGCTCTGGCAAACGAAAAGAAGTGAATACATATTTTCATTTCTATAAAAAAGTAGAACAAATATTTTTTAGAACGTTTTTATATCAGTTGACGCGACTTCAGAAGTTGAGTAATGACTAAATAATGCATTATTGTGTAGATTGAATTATCTAGTTTGTTGTTATTTATTTGTGTGATTGTCCTGGTTCCTGTTACCGTTTTAAGACTTCGAGTACCAAGTTAGATTAATCCATCCATTTTGTACTACGTTACGAAATCTTTGAAAAATGTTCTGTATAGCTGTTCTGTTATTAATATGTGAGATATCAACCTAAAATCAAACCGTAGAATGACTTTATATTCGTGATAGTAAAGTCAAAATAATTTTAATTATTTCTTATTGCACTATTTTCTTTTTAAACGCCCGAAATGCTAACAGGAACCATTATATAAGTACAGAGATTATATAAATTAAATTATATTAGTACATAATAGTTATGTACAGTGTACATTATGTAAATATAGAGTAAAAGTTGTTATATGTTTTGTAAATCTTTTGACTTTTTACATTATGTACCTGTATTTATATTGATTGATCTACCTCCCTATGTAAATCTCTGTGTACATATTAATTTGTTGATGTAGATATAGTTGTATACTTTTTTAAATAAAGACGGTATATTGTAGTTGCCAGTATTTCTTTATCGCAGCGCATCGAAACTTGAATCTAATTATTGACATAACAAATTTAACCTTATCTCCACAGCGTAACGCGCACATTAGTTCAGAGATTTAAAAAGACGCGTGGATATAAGACCGAATACTCGAGATGAGATTTTGATGGATATACGTTTCGAAGTGCTTCGAATTTGCCTGTAAAAATGACTCTTTAAAGTATTAAATAGGTACTTTTAATTAAACTTTCTCCCTTGTATTTCGACACTAGAAATGACAAATGAGTGACTTCTAAAAACGCCGTGTCAAATAATGGCAATGCAAAATTTGGTGATATCGAAATCTTAAAAAACCGATGGTGTTCCCGATTCGAACAAATAAAGATCTTCATAAAACGATATTAAATACTGAGTATTTTCTATTCTACAACAAATTTACAGAACATCGCCGGAGACATTCCTCACAGAATTAGGACTAACGGAGAAGGCAAAACGCACAGAAGATTGGTCATATACAAAGAAAAGCGATTCTCAAGTCACCGTTCAAAACTTTATCAAAAAAGTTATGTCCCTTTTACTATAAATTCAATATACATGATATTATGAGCTATTTTACAATACCCAATATCATGGAACTTACCTACACGATTGGGTTTGTTATCTTACAGGTTTGCTACGCGAAATCTTTTTAAAGTTGGTACTGAAACTATTGTTTTAGTAAAAATTAAGTTAAATTGGTCCTGTAAGCAATTTGTGGATTGCTGTTACGTAGTCGAATATTATATACATTTTTACATAATTATTTTTTTTGTTTTTATTTGTAGTTTGATTAGATTCGACGGCAATTTGATAATTTATAATATTATTCATTACTATGGCATATCTATGCACATTTCATTTACTTTGTAAAGCAAACTTGGTAGGTAGGTTTCTAGAATGTGGTGAGCAGTGCCACTTAGCCCTTCGTGTGTGGCACTGCGCAGTTGTCATTACAGTTTTTGCATTACTAGAGGGCGCTTCGACAGCTTATGAGAGGAAAACAAAACTTTCCTACTGTAAGAACAAAGACTGGTGACGTGGACCACAACAGAATGGCTCATTGTGAATGATCACAGATTGCTAAGTTGCAGAAAATAAAAAAAAAAAAAAAAAAAAAAAAAAAACTAGAGGGCGCTGACGTAGCTTAATAAGTAGTGAACAATGACACACCTCGGTACTTATGAGCATGATAGCAAAGGAAATATCACGGTACATTTTCTGTTTTCTTCATTCACACACATTCTTAGTATGACCTGTAAATTATTTTTGAAAACGATTGAATACTAACCAAAGCCTATGTTGGGTATCAAAGGAATATGACGTACCTATATCAAAGGAATATAAAGGTTGTCTGGAAAAAATCACCATTGTGTGGTAGGACCACCCATTGTACGCATATTTACTTGAATTGTTTGTTTCTTAAGCTACTTAAATGTGTACAATAAAGCATATATAAATAAACTAGCTTCTACCCGTGACTTCGTCCGCGAGGAATAGAGACTTCCGGCAGATTTTTGGTTTTAGACACATAGTTTCCATTCTCGCGGGATTTTCGGAAGGTTCCCGTTCCCGCGGGATTTTCGGTTTCGGGAAGTTGGTTTTTTAAAACGTAGCTTGTTAACTAACTTTTATGAAGTTTTTAAAAGAAAATTAAATTATTTTAAAGAACTTCTGCATAAACTAGGTACATTTTTTACACATTTATTACGGTTTCGTCGCTCCTATTGGTCGCAGCGTGATGTTATATAGTCTATAACTTTCCTCGATAAATGGACTATCCAACACAAAAAATATTATTCAATTCGAATCAGTAGTTTCGGAGATTAGCGCGTTCAAACAAACAAACAAACAAAAAGGCAAACTCTTCAGCTTTATAATATTAGTACCTATAGATTAATAAATATGACAATGTCGCACAACTCGCATAAGTGTGAACGAGAGATCTGATAAAAATGACTTATATGACATTTCAAACGTTTATAATGGCCCAACTATAGGTAGTATGAAAATAAGGTACCTACCTAAATAATTGCTATCTACCCATATACATAGAACCCAGAAGACATGAAAATGGCTCGTATAAACCGTTAAACGCTATAATCGAATTTATTACTACACGTGTTAACATTATGCATAGTTATTGCTCACACACAATGCAACATAGGTAATTACGTTTTGTAAATAAAATCACAGAACAGTAGGTTATATAATTTATTCAACAATATGCACTTTAGTAAAGTACAATAAACGTTAACCTTTCCCTAAGTAAGTAGGTAATGTAATAGTTATTAGGTATTTTAAATACTTAACTAGATATGTAGGATGTGTCAAGGACTTCTCGTTGGGTTAGTGCACACAAGCTAAACTGTGTCTTGTGGTCCATTGAGTAATTATCTCAATACTATAACATTGATAACTATCAATTCAAATTTTTAATATCACAACTTATCTTAATATTTCAATCAAACGACAAACGATATTTGTAAGTCAGTGTGGCTCCCTGTACCAACAATATCAAGATCATCGAACGAATGTTTTGTTTGTAGGTAAGGTTGTGATCGTTCGATATCTTATCTTAATATACGATTAGTTTTGTTGGAGCAAACACTTCAAAATAACCAAAACAACAGTATTATGTAACAATACTAATACAGGGTAAATAAAATAAAAAAATTTGGAATTTTATAATAGAACTTTGGTATAAACTCTGTCGTCGACGTGAGGAGGTTCAGGGACTATTAAAGGTTTGCCATCCATTTTGATCTCAGTGTAAGGAGCCGAGTACATGCAAGTGAAGCCCAACTTCTCCGCAGACATTGCTGAGAAGGCACTCGATGTGTCCATGCGAAGTACTTTGATACCACGTTGTTTGGCCAGCTTCCTGTAAAGATAGAAATTGATATTTAGCTGTTTATCGTCTCGGAAGTTAGAATACCATGTAGATAAGAAGGTATCTTTGAAATCGATATTGGTGCTACTGCCACTCCAAACCTGATTTCGAACTTTATTCCGCATACGTATAAGTGATGTAAAAAGTAGTAGATTTTTAGATATGTTACTATCATGTCGTTTAAGCACGGTGGGATGATAAGTTAAAATGGCTCATCTCCAGTCAAGTGTATGTTTTGTCTCCAGAACAATACAACATTGAAACTGCCCAAAAATTTGAATCTGAAGCGAATCGTATTTTGTAGTGAAGAGATAAGGTATTATTGTGCAAATAGAACAATATGAAAGGACCGTATGTTTGACGGCTGTCCGCACCTGTCCTATTTCGACACAGTCAGTTACGTTGAGAGACCGAGTAATCAAGGGGACATGGAAATCTGTTGATCAATGGATATCTATGGACAGGCTGTTTGTCCATTTTCATATTTAAGTCATGTCATCTAAACTATTCAAAGGCTAACAATATTTTCAGTTCCTTATTATTGACTAGTTGCGTGATGAGTGATGATAATCCTTAAGTTGCTCCAAAATTCCAAATGAGAATATTTAGACTTAGTGATAAGATAGATTGCGGGATGACAAACCCTGATATTCAGTTGTAGATTATTTGGTTAGGACTAGGACTAGGAATAATGTAGTGAATATGTTATCTAAAAAAGAAACTTACTCTGTAGCATCTAATAAATTGTTCATGATGCCTCGCTTCCTCCAGTTAGGATCCGTGGCTGCAAGCTTCACATCAAGAACCTCTTCCTCATCAGGGAACTTCTCCCAAAGTTTGGCACCTTCCTCTCTTTGTGCTAACACGTATAGAATCTTTGCAAATTTTGGGTTTTTGCACTGTTGAGCTTGGCTTACGTAGTCGCTGCCGTCATCTTTCTGGAAATAATAAAGGAGGCCATGTACCTATTTTTGGAGGATCATTATTGTTACTTTCTATGACTATGGGTGACTTATTAGTTTTGCATTGCAGGTTCTAGAAAATTGAGGTCGGCGCCCAATACATTTGGTATAAAGCGTGTTAAAAGTTGATGCTGAAAATAAACGCAGTGGATCGGCACCAGCCTTTTGCGCTGCGACGCACCATAGACTCCACTTTGTTGTGTGCCTGTGTTCTTGTCCCCGTGTGTCATGACGTAATAAAGGGATTATTTTCTTTTTAAAAATCCTGTAGCTCTACTCGCTCCCTACTTTGTTTGTTATTCTTACACGGCTGTTGATATTTTGAGATGTCTATTACTTTTAAAGAGTTGTCTTTACGTAAACTTACTTGCTTCAAAGTACACATTCCGCTGACCATTAGTCCGACGATTTTGCCATTTTTGTCGACTGCTTTGAAGGACCACCCGTCTTCATGTAGGTAGTGTGCGCAGTACTCTTCAAGCTCAGCACAGGTACCGTCACTGCATAATCCAACTGCTTGGTTCATAGGCTCGTCGATGAAAAATGTCCTGTAAATAGACAACACGTTTTCTAGGTTTTTCAATTTTAGTGGGAACTTTTAGGTTCGGTAGGTGGTGTGTTCTTGCGATATCCTTTCTAATGATTTTTACTGCTTTCAGTGTTTTTCAACTTCCTACAACGCTTAGTAAACAAAGCTACCTACTTACCTATGAGGTTCTTAACACCTTTCTCGAACAAATCTTTATAAATTTTATATGAAAAGGATTTTATTTGTTTAATTATGAAAGTTTCTAATGGAGAGACTTACTGTCGCAGTAACTGGAGAGATTCCTCCGTATCTCCAGGTTGAATAGGTTGTATTTCGTAACCTTGGTCAGCCATTGTTTCTATGGACCCTGGAAACAATTTCGATAACATCTTTAATTATACTCTCAAAGCAAATTATGTAATACCTTTGCATGTAGTACTAGTTTAGATATTATATTTTATGACTTCTCATCAATTGTCGTCCGGCTGTTAAACCAACTAGATTAAAAATTACGTAGCTACTGTAAAACGTTATACACAATTTGATCCACAGAGAATCGACGCACCTAGATGGAAAAATCTTACTAAAATTATAAATGTGAAAGTTTGTCTGTTAATGTGTTTATCATGTTTGTTACACAAACACGTCAAAATGGCTGAAGAGATCGACTTGAAATTTGAAATAGAGAATATAATGTTATGGTCTGCAATAATACATGGGCTACACTTAATCTCACAGTAACGCGGGCAGAAGCTAGTATTAAAATATAAAGTTTTATTTCTTTTGATATGGGAACTTACCTACTCATTTTATTGTACGATTTGCTACGTTCAAAGCGCCTAGTTTAGTATCTATGTCTACTTATTGGAGATTATAAAGTTAGGCTAGGTCAGTTTAATTTATTTACAATCTAAGACAACTTGAACTATTTCATACCTACGCATATCCGACAAAGCATATGTAGAGTACATAACTTAACAGTTATAAATAGGTTCACAAGTACCCAAGAGTCATAACATATTGTGAATAATGATTAGGTACCTACTCTTTGTTCCGGTTTGTTTTTTATGTTTTCGGTGATGTCATCCTTGTCTATAACTCAAGCTGTTCTATTGTGGACAAAAAATAAGTAAATATAGATACCTCGTTGAGCAACTCTACACTATAAAGACTATTGATTTGAACTCAATTTGAGAGCGAATATGGAATCTATTTATTATATTGAAATAAATCTAAAATACTAAATAGGCAACTAGATACTTAGGTACTGAGTTAAGTTTATGTCCATATCCAGGGTTTTTTTTGAGTTAAAATATCATTCAATTACTTCTTTCTCCCGCCTTAGGTTAGACAAGAGGGAGTGTCAGACTCTTACTGATTAAAAACCACCCCGTTCTTAATACTGCTCTTCGAGCTGGAGCCCCGGCAACCCGTTAGGTCTTCCGCGGCCACGTAATATCCAGGGAGTTAAGTGCATGCACCGGCTCAATTTTCTTAGGGATTTTTTTTTTTTAAAAACGTTGCCCCACACTTGTATTTTCTCCTGTGTCGTGGGTGCGTTTACAAACATACAAGTTCACATACACAATGACACCCAGACCCGAAACAACAATTTGTGGATCACACAAAGTGTTGTCCCGTGCGGGAATCGAACCCGCGACACGTTGCACGGCAGCCGGTTGCCCAGCCAGCGCACCAACCGTGCAGTCGATTCGTGGAAAGGTTAAGAGGAATAATGTAAAAAATCAATAGTGTAAGTTATTATCTATCTTTATGCACTAAATCTCTTTCTATGTATGATGTAACATCAAGGTTTAATGCTAGGCTACCTAAGAGTTTGTAATTCGATCACGTGTGTGATACCTATCATGTTTCGATACTACCTACCTTATTTTGAATCATATTTTGATAGTAATTCTATCTATAACCGTACATCATAATAGATAATGTTTTACGAAGTTATCTGTGTATCCAAGTAGATAATGTGGTAATATCAGACATTCGCATCAATAAATAAATCAGATTAAATAAATGAAGATAGGTTTGCAGGGCTTTAACCAACAACTGATAGCAAATATTGTTCAACAAACACCAATGATACTAATGAACAATGATAGCCCTATGGAAGACGTTATTACAAAGAAAAAGAGGTCTAATTCTTAACTCTAAGTACACTTTTTATCAATCTTGTCATAGGTCTGATCTGTCTGATATTTTGTTGTGTTTACACAAATCGCTGGATACAAAATGAAGGAATTTCATTATTTTTTCTCGTCGAAGTACTTAAAACGCAGTTTAATCAAGGCGAACCATCATGAATAGAACATTAATTGTAAACATAAGTATGCTAACTTAATCTCTATCTGAATCTTACCTAAAACAACTCCAAGTTATTCAGTTAAGTAATCAAAAACACAAGTTCACTGCACTCTCAAATGTCAGTCAGAAACCAGAAACCTAACCACATTTACTTTAATAATAAATTATTTATAAATATATTGAATTATTATTATGATACAATAAAAATAAATCGTTCTAGCGTGCGGCTTGTGCGCAACTAGATAATATAATGTTTTGAACGTTTGCGCGCACGCATTTACATATTAACGGTGAAAGATAAAAATACTATATTTAAGGCGAATACAGTGGTATGTTTGCTTATCTTATCGTATGTATATGACGTCATTTAATCCGATAACTATATATAATATTATATTCTTCGGTTTCAATCAGTCAAATTGTTTGTAAATTCGTTTTGAGAATGCGTTTCTGTAGTCTGAGTAATTTTGTACAGGTAAGAATTAAAATATTACGTATTTAGCAGCAGTTCTTCTTATGATTATTTTTCTACAATTTCAGTCTTTGAATTAATAAGCGCGAAGCAGTTTCAAAACCATGAAGATTTATTGATATTATTTGTAGGCGAAACTGACATCCATATTGAATTGGGTTATTTCATTGTACATACATTATGCGCTACTATTTTCTAGCTCTTTGCCTTATCATCAACATCATATCATAAGTCGATTCTCAGAACACGTCTTTCATAGGTCCCTAACATGTAAAATAATAGAATAATTCCGGAAAAGTAAGGTTCCCATTGGTAAAAATCTTCTAATTCGTCCTGTAGTTTTTGAACCTATTCAACGCCAACAAATTATATATTTTTCGCTTTCCAATCAAGTAGATACAGATAACAAGTGTAGATATGAGCCTTAACTAAAATTGTAGGAGTGGGGATGAGTCGCGGTGACCGAAGCTTGGCATCTCAAGTCGGTTTATTTACTAATCGTCGCGTGCGCGGCGAGATTTGAATACAATAGTGACCGGTATGTGTGACCTTTATTTTAAAGCCATAAGAGCGGTTTTAGAATACTTTGGTCTTCGATCTGTCTGATTATAATGTTAAGATTTTGAACATAGTACCTCGTTGGTAGTATCAGCTACGGATTCTTAAGAATTGATGTTTATTATATTTCTCTAGATAGAGTTTGCACTACAAGATATTTTTTGTTTTTTTTAAACATTGCCCCACACTAGGATTTTCTCCCGTATCGTGGGTGCATTTATAAACATTCAAGTTCACATACACATAACACCCAGACCCGGAACAAGAATCTGTGGATCACACAAATAATTGTTCCGTGCGGGAATCGAACCCGCGACACGTTGGGCGGCAGCCAGTAATTGCCCAGCCACCTCGCCAACCGTGTAATTCTTCTTCTTCTTAGTTGCAAGTTCTTAGTATTCTGTGAAAAAAATCAGGAAAATAGAACTCTATATCACTTACTTGGTCGAGTCGCACACGACCTAATAAGTCAGCCTGTAAGAAGAACTTCTTCCTTGCCAAAATGATCGTGGTTGACTATGTAATTTTCTTGGTAATATCGTAGTCCTCGCACCTCCATTCCGCACCTCCATTTGTTCGTAGTCTTCAGCGAATTGAGAGCTTATCTGAGTAGACAGGTCCTTGTGTAACCTTTCTCATCTTCACAAAAGTTGGCAATCCTATTTCTAGTAAGGGACTGTTTAAAAAGGTAGGTACACCATAATGTATCTTATTATAAGGCCATACAGAAGCTCTTAAATGTATAGTCTTAACTGATAATAATCATTCTACTGTCTAAGCCTGTTTGCCATATACCGATTCGATCGTCACATGGTTTTTTGCCCACCATCTGGTAACCACTGATCCAAAACAACTACGTGCTTGGTGACAATACACATGTTTGTAAGTACTTTTAGTTTCAAGTCACTTGTCAGTATAACAGTATATAAAAATGTCGTTTGTGGTTGGCTAATAACGGTCTCCATTACCTTTCTGGAAGTAGATTTGGTGACCAGGTATAATTTGCCTGTAGATCTATACAAAACATTTCCAAAATCTAGCTCTATTCGCTCTAGGAGCCCAACAAGCGGCGCTGATGGTTAGCACAGGTTTTCGAAACGGGGTAGACAACATAATTATCTAAAAAACAAAGGACTTACCCGAAGGATTTTAGACTAGCAATGTATTTCTAATTTCTAATGCATACACGCACTAAAATAATTATCACATCTGCATTATTAAACCCACGGAATAGTAGTTTTTTCTATTCCATGATTAAATCAATAAAATCAAAGCATTGCATGTTGCATGGCGTTAAAGTAGGTACAGAGAGTTAACGATAACACGAATCTTTCTTAGGTAGGTACTGTAAGCATACATACGTAGATATGGGATAAAACCAAAATTGAGTCAAATCCTTTACAGATTACGTGTGTTCATTCTACTATGTGTCTAGTTACATTGTTTAACTTTGCTAATTTAAAACAACCTTCATTTTTAACTATAACAATTGGTAATGTTACGTTAATTAACCATAACTAGTTTCACTAATTAGTTGGTTCAAATATTTACTTCGCTGGTAAACGGTTACAGAAGGTTTAAAAATGCAATTCTGTTATACCCACGTTACCCATGTTTTTATTGTATGATTTTTTAAATTATATAAATGTATTAATAGTATAATACAAAAAAAAATCAAAACATCTTACAATACCGTCCTAAAAGTTCTTCACAAGTATCGGGGTGACATTATATCTTGTGAAAAAGCACTGTAAATAAATAAGGGGAAAAAAGTGTTGGTATGAATTTATGTCCTACTATGTCACTATGTCGTTGAATTAGTCAATGTATAAATAAAGAAGCACTTAATCAGGTTTAGGTCGAACGTCTTCAGCAGATCTTTACCATCACACAGCAACTGAAAAAAAAAACAAAAAGTCAACAATACATCTTCGACCGCGTGTTCTAAACCGTAGTATCATCATCAGCCTGTAAGTGGCCACTGCTATTGTCGAACGGAGATGGTTTGGCCATTACATTAATCATCTCGCTTGTTCAATGCGGGTTAGCGATTTCAAACTTAAAATTAGAAAATTATAAGCTTAGGTTATTGGAAGTCATTGGCCTATGTTCAGCAGTGGATGTCTGTGGCTGATATGATGACGATGATGATGCTTAGGTTTCCTCACGATGTTTTTCTTTATGGTTTGTCAGTGGTAAATAATCTCAGAAAGATGGTACATATAACTCACTCACGCACTCTAGTGCATGAGAAGCGAGCGTCTTTAACCTCCAAGCCACCACTAATATACACGATTCTCTATATCTACTGTGCCTAAACCTTAGTCAAAAATTACACTAGCGCTTGACAAAACAAAAAACTGTCTGGTATTTTTTTGATTTATCAGACAGACGGAAGCTAAAGGGAACCCCGTAATGTAAGATTAGGTACCTTATAATAGTTTCATGTAGACTCTAGCTTCGATGTGGGGTAACTTAGGCAGTGGTGCATCTGGTATGTCAGCGTATTTGATGGCGTATATGCTCTTATACCCCAATCGTTCAGCTGCGCGCCCTGAGTAAAACGACGTCGCGTCCATGCGTATAGCACATGCATGCACTTTTTTAGCGATACATCTAAAATGTAAAACAATGCTCTTAAAGATGAACATTCAAATAGAGCAGACAAGATAACAATCATCAAATTCCTAATCCCTACAAAGCCGATAACGCACTTGTAACGCCTCTGGTGTTCCAAGTATCCATGAGCGACGCCGATTGTTTATCATCAGGTGATCCTGATGGTAAACAATCGGCGTCGTCGCAGACGGATCACCGTCTGCTCATTTACTGGCTTATCCTCTAAAAAAGAGTACGAGGGTATGACTTTATGAAGATAACAGTGTTTTGGTGAACTTATCCTTGTGTATCTACAAGTAGACACAAATTGAAAGTCCTCATAAAACTTGAAATAGGGTTTAATCCCTTTGGATTGTGTCCGTTTGGATAATGATTCCACGTAACGTAGCTTGCCAAGCCAAAATAGAATATTAAGATATTACCGACAACCGAGGAGACCAAAAAATTTGGTAAAAACAGAAATAAGCAATATAAGTAGGTACTAATTACTTTAATATATTTGTTCTTACTCTGATTCTTTGGCTAGTGCTTCCATGACGCGTCTTTTTCTCCAATTCGGATGCACAGATGCCATCGTAAGATCCATTACCATATTACAACTACTTGGCACTTTTTCCCAGAGTTGTGACTTTTCCCGCATATACATTAGAACGGCTAGAATACGTCTGAATTTAGGATTACCACAGTTCTCCGCTGCTTCTTTACAGCCGGTATCCTGTGTGGAAAGGTAAATTATTTTGATGAACATGCAACAATCGGTTGAATCTTTGGAGAATGTATCAAACCTCAACTCAACTTAAGACTGATTCGAATTGATTTCAGGACTAAGACTTTGCCACTTAAGAGGCTAAGAAACGACTCGAGACGAACTCGAACATTTCACGGAAAAAGCGAAAAGCTACATCCAAAAATGTGAAAGTCGACCGTGGGAAGTGTCCATAGCAGTCAATTACCTAAGTCCCTGATGGAAAATACCGATATGTCCTAATATAGTTTTGATTGATTTAAGTCCCTCCCTTGCCTACCGCTCTGTAGGTATCATTGGGAAGTTAGGGTATTGTCCAAAAAGCCCTAAGATAAGGTCCATCTCTAATCAATGCTCACGTCTCTATGCATGGTCGCATTGATGACGACTCCCACCAGCTCTTCGTTTTCATCAACAGCGCTTAATGAGAATCCTTCATCAATAGCACTGCTCACACTTTGCTCAGCTTCCACACATCGGTCATCTGGACCGTTTATAAGTTTCACTGCTTGAGACATCGGCTCGTCGCGCAAGAAATATCTAGAAAAATGTTTAGTAGATACTGTAACATTTGCGTAGAAGCTTAGGAACGTTCATACTCAGACGCTCCGAGGATTGCCACTGGAGGCGAATGGGAATAAAACTTCTCGGTCGCCACCGGCACTGCAGTTTCGCTGTACATTGCTTTCTCCATCGTAATCATATAAATAATAAAAGTTTGAGGCAACTTATCCTGTTCGTTGTTAGTAGTTCCATGATGATTGGACGAATCAATGAGCTTTTTACCCTATTACTGCATAATTTTACATAATTGCACGCACATTTCTGCACTTAACGCCACTGTACAATGTAACACCTACTTTTCACTATTTATGTTATGAGTCCCATGTAATAGGGGGTGAGCCTATTGCTATATACCGGGCACATTTCCAGACTCCGTGCTACTACTGAGATTTTTCAAAACCCAGTAATACTTTGAATAGTACTGCATAATTTATTTTGCAGAATACTTTTATAATTATGTGTGCACCTAGACTGAACTGAACTTAGAGAGAAACAGATAAACTGATGATTTATGAAATCGTATATTATTGATTCAAACATTATTGCTTACTTCCTTAGAAAGTCAATGACACGTTCTTTATCCTTTGATTCGATTTTTCTGATGTGGAATGTAGTATCTTTGTTCATGCTGAGGTGCCTCCATGAATGCTCTTTCTGGTTCTAAAAGTAGCGTGATCTTGAGAGAAGAAAATTGGTATGGAATTATGTAACGTTTTTAAAAATAATTGTGTATTGTTACTTACGAGTTCTTGCCATTTAATGTGATTCTTTTTTCTGCAATCAAAGGCTTCTTTACGTGGAATTATGTTGCTGATTTTTCTTGTAAATTCATTATTAACAACACGTTTACAAACTCGTAGTAATACCATAGTTCCCCATGGACAAAAAAATTGTGAAGGTAACGTACCTACCTATTTGTTGTTTTTAATTAAAACGAAAAGTGTAAAAAAGGATTTTGCTATACATGAATAATGTCTCAAATGTCAATTATTTACATATTTTCTTCCACAGTCAAATGAGTCAAGTGGGTAGTTGCAGCGGTTTGTTCCATAAATATAAAATCCTTTTTGAATAGTAAAACAAAAATACCACCAAAAGAGTACAGTAAGTCCGTTTCTCGTTAGTTGGCTCTTACTACAACTTTTACACAAGGACGTTGCAAAAAGGACCTTATTTTCACTGTCCTTACTTTTTCAAGTAATCGGGAACTTAAACTCTTTGAACTATAGACCACAGACGACATAGATGTCTATCTAGAGATACTATGATACTATCTTCTTTATTATACTTCTTTGATTCTGCTTTTTATTTTCTTTTTTTTTGTTATAATACTTAACATAACGTAACATAACATCACGCCTTTTATCCCCGAAGGGGTAGGCAGAGGTGTACATTATGCCACTGTACAATGTAACACCCATTTTTCACTATTTATGTTATGAGTCCCATGTAATAGGGGGTGAGCCTATTGCCATATACCGGGCACAATTCCAGGCTCCGTGCTACTACTGGGAATTTTTTGAAAAGCCCAGTAATACTTTGCCCGACCCGGGAATCGAACCCGAGACCCCTTTCCCGGCAATTGCACTTGCGACCACTCGGACAATGAGGCAGTCATAATATTTCATATTTGATTTAATACTTCCGTTATCTATACTATAGACAAGGGTTTAGTTATATCAGTGGGTTTTAGTGTGTTAGTAAAGACTATGTAGGTACACAATAATATGTTAATGTTATAAAAACAATAGAAAGAATTAAAATATTTTATTAATTGAGACAAAATAATATATTTACAAACTACGTCACAATAAACTGATCAAGGTAAATCTATAATCATAATTTCGAGAGAGAACATTAATTAAACATAAACATTGGTTTGAATAGTCAACAGGTTTAACCTTAAAAGTATTTTCTTTTTTTTTTCATTTAATTCTTTATGAATGGTATAACACCTACATTGCATTGCTTATTGTTATTAAAATCACTAGGTGACTACACTTCGTTACGTACAAATCCAATAAGTAGTTTAAATAGGTACTAAACGTCCAGCGTCTATTCCACTAAACTATTTTTCCGAATTATGTATAAGAATTATCCAACTTTCAATAACATTACATTAATTAACACTAAATTACAAGGAACTACAAATACATAACTAAGCTACATAACGAGAGAGCCTGCTAAAAGTATTACATCAATCACTTTCCAAGATACATATTGCTATTATATTTCACTAGGCACCGCCAAATAAATCTATTTAAATTATGGAATGGGAGTAACTGCGATGCCTGTATAAAATATAGTTTTCGACAACACAACAATAAAAAAAATCTATCACTGTCTTAAATTAAATTCACAAGTAGACTTGGAGAATGCCTTATCTCGTTTGTTCGGATCTGTTTTCATATTCCTATCTTTACCAGGTACATAATATAGGTACATGATCACATAAAAATAATATAAAATAGTTCCTATACTAGGTGTTGTGCTTTTCTACCGCATTAATTTTCTATTCGTGCAATAAATGTGCAGTAGATAGAGCTGATTTTGGTCTTCGACATTCTTCTTCTTGTTGTGATAATTCTGTAAAAAGGAAATTTGCATTTTTAATTTTGCTTTAAACTGTCAAATACCAAGCGGTCACCGGTGACCGCAACCTATTGTTCTATAATTGTGTCTACAAAACCGGTACTCGACGAGTTAATCTACATACAAACGTTTTTCCTTCGTTTTTCATTTGTTCTTTCAAAAATAGAAAATGGGAGCTAGATATCTTTTTTGTTTGCTTTGATCCAACCAGTAGTCATGATGTGGGCTATTCATTGCAGAGGAGACATCAGCGTGCTTAATCTTGAAACCAAACCGAATGTCAATCCAATAAAATCTCAAATCCAATGTCAAAACTATACAACCCCAATCATAGCTGTTAAAGTAGCATTCAGAATACGGAATATAAAGCCAAACTCAATACTATTTAGTTCACAAAATATACACGCAATACGGATGCAATGGGCGCTAGTGTTGCAACTCGAAGAGTACGTCATAATGTCAATGTCGATCGATCGGAATTGGATTCAAGAGTAAGCCCCTAGACGTCATGGTTTTATTGTAAGAGGCACTATGTATTAGCACTATTAACAGTAGGGGTATCTAAAACCCGTAACGACTCATATTTACGCGCCAAAAGGCCGGCAACGCACGGGCGACGCCGATTGCTTACCATCAGGTGATCCGTCAGATCGTTTACCGACTTATGCCATAAAAAAAACTTCAATTTATCATGTCTACCTTACAGCTGCTTGATATAAACACTGGCAGAAAAATGTGGTGCTTTAGGTTGTGGTGCATCAGGCAGGTCCTTGTACAGCACGGAGTAGACTTTCTTGTATCCCAGCCGCTCGGCCGCGCGAGCGGAGAAAGCCGATGTAGCGTCCATGCGGATGACGCCAGCACCGTGTGTTTTCGCGATTCGTCTGTAAAGTAGAAGAGGTAGTCGTTAGAATTTTCAATTTATTAAGCTTTTTAATCAATTTTAGGAAGCCGGGACTTAATCCTCCCAAGGTTGTAACATTTGGAGACAAGGTGGGCACAATTGCTGTAGAGATTTTCAATTAATTCACATGAACTGTATTGTAATTGATCCTTACGGATAAAAAATTGGAACGTAACTATCAAATATTCAGGACCTAAATCTATACAGATAAATAATATTAGAGTGTCTGCTTGTAATCTTATATTATTATATAATGATATTATTATAGAGGTATATGATATGATATTATAAAGCGGGAAGAGTTTGTTTTTTTGTTTGTTTGTTTGAACGCGATAATCTCCGTAACTACAATACAAGTCTGATTTGAATAATTATTTTTGTGTTGGATAGCGTATTTATCGAGGATAGCTATGGGCTATAAAATATCACGCTACGACCTATAGGAGCTGAGCAGAGCGTGTGAAACCGCGCGGTAGTAGCTATTATTAAAATAACCACTTTTGCATACGATACACACACCAAAATATATTTTTTATAATTTTTGTCTGTCTGTCTGTCTGTCTGTTTGTACTGGTTAAACTGACTAATCTCTGGAATGGCTGGATCGCTTTTGCAAGACTTTTATTCGCAGGTAGCTGATGTACTAAGGAGTAACATAGGATACTTTTCTTTTGGAAAATTGAAACAGCAACAGCTAGTATATAGCAATATACATATTAAACTGTCAAACACCAAGCGGTCACCGGTGACCGCAACCTATTGTTCTATAATTGTGTCTGCAAAACCGGTACTCGACGAGTTAATTAGTGTGTCTCCATTCTTTTACACTGACAAAAAGATATATTTTTATTTTCAGACGAAATATTCGACTGTACAGAAAACCAGTAAACAAGCCAGGTGCCATAATTGAGTAAGCATGCAAATCGCGGAAGGGCACACATCTAATTATTTCGCAAATGTCGCTTTGACAAATTAACTACACAATAAAATAAGCTAATAATGGAGTCTATTAAAATAATAATAGCAATCCAATTGTGTAACTGAATATTTTTTGTTACGTTTAACACAAAGGCACTGTAGTAATTTACGTGCTATGACATATTCCATATTAAAATTATTGTGGTTCTTCCTAGTTATCTGTAGTAAAGTATATAACAATGTATTTTTTAATCACAACACCGTGAAGGAAGCAATCTTACGTGTAATTACTAATTATATAATTGTGCATGACGTTGGTACCTAGCAAATTGAAATTTATTTTATTTTATGCAAATAATAATCATCCCTTATGTCTACTGCCTCGCTGGCCGAACTGCCGGGCAGAGGGTCTCGGCTTCGATTTCCGGGTCAGGCAAAGTATTACTGGGTTTTTAAAAAAATCTCAGTTTGCACAGAGTCTAGAACTGTGCCCGGTATATGGCAATAGGCTCACCCCCTATTACATGGGACTCATAAAATAAATAGTGAAAAGTGGGTGTTACATTATAGTGGTATAATGTGCACCTCTGCCTACCCCTTCGGGGATAAGAGGCGTGATGTTATGTTATATAATATAATAATTATAGAATTTTCTTTTGGTACTATCATACCTAACCATTAATACCCCACATGCAGTCAAGTAAAATTGTTTATCATGTACATTACATAAACATTGAGTAACACATGTCACAATCGCCTTAACCATGATGTCCTATTTATTTCAATTGGACGATCAACAAACATGCATGGGTACCACTCTGTTACATGTCTCATGTCAAGATCACACCGTTGTTTTCATAATTGAGGTCAAGAAAAAATTAGAAAACCAAGGACAAATTGTAGTAAACAAGGATATGTTTAGTAACGGTAAAATGGGATGAATAGAGATCGAGAGGTGAATAGGGATAGAAGAGGGGTGAATCGATACTATGACGAATTTTTCAATATCTATTCACTTTTTTCTGTATTCACTGTACATATTATTTTCCTTTTTTTCGTCGTTTTATAAGATACTAGTGACCCGCTACCTCTTCAGACGGGTGCAATATGCATGTATCATATATATAAACCTTTCTTAAGAATCACTCTTTCTATTAAAAAGAAACCGCATCAAATTCCGTTGCGTAGTTTTAAAGATCTAAGCATACACAGGGACAGACAGACGGCGGATAACGACTTTGTTTTATACTATGTAGTGATTAATCGAATATCTTTGCAGAGCTTCCGAAAAAAGGCTAATGATTGTTTTCCTAAATTAAATTAAATTTGAAACAATTCTTAAGCTAAGATGTGACACTTAATAACATGTGTGAGGTAAGGATTAGTTTTGGTATGTGCTCCTTATTCCCTCATGCTAAGTAAGTCTTTATTAACTCGTCGAGTACCGGTTTTGTAGACACAATTATAGAACAATAGGTTGCGGTCACCGGTGACCGCTTGGTGTTTGACAGTTTAAGAGATGGTTTATGTGCAGTGGGTTAATACGACCATCAGTGTTTTAATCGACTCGTTTTTATACAGCTATGTCTCATATGCGTATCTTAAAGATTTATTGTTTTATTTTTGTCACCAAACTGTTTACTTTCGTAAATGTACGTGTGCATCAAATCGCCTTCAAGTACTACGAATTAACTGAGTCTCGTGACGAGCTCGTCCTAGCGATGCGATGCTGTAACAATTACAGACGTTACACAATACATGCGCCACATTGTTATTGTTCCATATTTAATGTTACAAGGAATTAATGTAAGGTTATTTTCGAGTTAATATATTACATACTAGCTTCTGTCAGCATCGTCGCTCGCGTTCCCTTGGGTTAAAAGGTACCGTGTATTATTCCAGACCATATTGTTCGCCTGTTCCTGTTCCAAATTTCATCTTGATCTCTTCAGCCATTTTGACGTCAAAGAGTAACAAACATACAAACTTCTGCTAAGTAGGATTCCTTCTAGAAGGTCCACTGAAGTTTTAACGTAAAGATTAGTCTTTAAGTCGAAGTGGTGGAAGAAAACATATAGGTACCAGCCTACTCATTTTCCAATGATAACCTTATTAAATGTTTAAGGGCTTCAACCAGGTCCCTTACACAATGATATGTAGATACGCATGTAACTCATATCAACAAACTAGCGTCTATCGTAACCAAGACTTACTAAAGGCAATTTAACACACAATTTAAAATTCTTAGTCACTATCGTACATTCAGGCAAACCTATTTACTATGCTAATTGCTTAATCGGTTTATGTGTGTTAAGCGAATATATTTTAATCATATTATACCTATCTCGTTAATTACATATTGAATTATTACTAATTCATGCCCCAGGCAGGGTCAGACATGAATTTAGCCCGTAGCCTAGACTTAAATAAATACTGTAAAATCTGTACTTATATTCCTAATTACTTGGTTTACGACTCTGTTTACTTTAGCATAATGCTAGTTATAATTATAATTTGTTGACTATTTTTAAATAAATAATAATTTTTAAAACAAAAAATTATAATGTTTAGATAGATACCTACTTTGTTCCTCAAATGGCATTTAAAGGTTAATCGAGAGTCATTAACTAGAAAAGTCAATGCATGAGATTTACTCTGATACTCATGATTTATCATACCCTGGTAGCCAAGTTTAGGTTTTCAGTAGTAACATTACATTTAGGAAAACGTAGTGTAAAACGCTCTCCATTTAGGTGGAGTGACGATATCCACAAGGTGGCTGGTAGTGGTTGAATGCGTAGAACTGAAGATCGGGCAATGTAGCATTTCTAAAAATTAATGCAGATTTTTCTAAATTAACATTCTTTTATCTAGCATAAAAGCAATCGTAACATTGCCGTTTTATATTCCACACAATACAGAAGTGCACATTTTTATGATAATAATATTAAATTCGTGAGGGGCCCAAGTCTACATCTTCTTTAGATCGAAGATTTGTAAGGAGGACGGTTGACACTTCAGAAGATCGAAAGGCTGGCTACTACTTTGGGCAATGATTAACCTTCTTCCTTCTTCTTCTTTTGGGGCACCCTACCTCACGATAGCGACGAGGAAAACTTTTGTAATGCAATTTTAAGGTGTAAATATTTTAGTTTTTTAGTTATCTGTATTTATAACATTAATTATTTATTACGACAAAGATTATAGTAGATTATTGACAGAAAACATAGCAACTTGAACCAATTCGTGAGTTATATTACACACTAGCGACCCGCCCCGGCTTCGTAGGCATGTATTATACATACAAACCTTCCTTAAGAATCACTCTATCTATTAAAAAAAACCGCATCAAAATCCGTTGCGTAGTTTTAAAGATCTAAGCATACATACGGACATACAGCGAAAGCGACTTTGTTTTATACTATGTATTGATGTAAAACTCTCATGTCATAGGAAGGACTAAGAGATTTTTTAACCAGAAATCTCGCAATAACCAATGAGGCAGTCATGTAAGTAATGATCTAATAAAAATCTTTTCTCTATAGCTCAAATTTTATCAAACCAGTCTAAACTTCTAGGCGAAAAGAACAACCAGGAGATAACTATTGTAGCAATTTTAATTTCAGAAAGATTTTTGTCCTTGGCCTGTTCATAATATTTCCTTAGTCTATCGTTACCGTAATAAAATTTTATTTTATTAGTACTTATATTGTCTGACTATATGACTAATCATCATAAATTTAAAATAACTAAACTATTGTTTAAACACGTTCATGCACATTTAATGGGTTTGAGTCTTTGTAACGTACGGTTTGCATCCCAGAAATAAGCAAAGTATGATTGTTGAATTCTTTTTACCGCTAATCACATCTCTAAGAATCTAGATTCTAATGTAAAATGTAGGTATATACCATGTATATACGACGTATAATTCAATCTATCGACTGATTGATGTCTTTCAAGTTTAAAATGCCATTAGTCATTTCAATTCTGTTCCACGAGTCCACCAAGACTTCTAGATAGCTACATATTTTGTATTATGCAATATTATTGTTTACTAAAATTACGTAATTTACGTCCCTACATACTCATTACATAATGTCTCCATACATTTACAATAACAATACAATTACACATCCAACAGATGTCGCGCGGTGACAGATAAATTCTTTGTGCTCATAAATACAATGTTATTATCTTTTGTGACGTATTTTTTATAATGAATTATGTCTTATCTGTGGAAAATATTATCCTATTCATATTATAAAGCATTAAATTAAAATATAATAAACATTTGTCAGACTACGATAAGTTATGTGGTTGCTATTGTCCTACGCCTTCGTAGCTGGCGTACTACGTGGCGTAGCGCTACGATATACTACAGACCATGACGCCGTAGCGACGACATTAACCCCTCTTTGAGGGAAATATTTCTAATTTTCAACAAATTGTTAGTGAACCGTACTACATAGTAGCTTAGTTCAAACTTCTTTCTTCTTTCTTTTATTACTTAACTTACTGGTCTGTTTTTAACAGAAATCTGACATTTAATATGACATTATCAACCCATTTGTTTATAACTGCACTATTATACAATCTGGTACCGAATGATATAATAAATTGCATTCTCAACAAAATGATTCCAGAAACAAGACACAAGGACTTCCGTAGTTATACGCGATCATTATAATAATTGACCAATCACAATTAATCGACGAGTTCATAAATACATAGATGGTGTACTGGGACTAAAAAAGTGGAAAATGATTTATGTCGTGATTTATAAGAACGTATAAAGGCATTAGCAGGGAAATACGTGGGTGACGTCAAAGAAGATTTTCTAAGCTAAGAGATTGTGGCAACTTCTCTTATGCAGAAGAATTAAGTGTAAAAATTTAAGTGTGGGAGAGCCATGCTTCGGTACGAATGGGCCGGCTCGACCGGAGTGATACCACGGCCTCACAGAAAACCGACGTGAAGCAACGCTTGCGTTGTGTTTCGCCGTGTGAGTGATGTTACCGGAGGCCCAATAACCCTCCCCTTTCCCAATCTCCCCAATCCCTGAATCCCCATCGATCCTCAAACTCCTAATCCCCAAAAGGCCGGTAACGCACTTGTAACGCCTCCGGTGTTCCGGGTGTCCATGGGCGACTCCGATTGCTTACCATCAGGTGATCCGTATGTTCGATTACCGGCTTATGCCATAAAAAAAGGATTCCTAAAGTCCAGTAGAAGATTTTCACGGAGAACTTTTAGCAGTTTTCTTATTATCTCAAGTATTTACATTGTAATATATCCTGTAGTACATTTAATTAAGCTACTAGTATTCAATAATCGTCATCGATATTAGGATAGCAACTTTTTGTTCCTTCCTAAAAAAGACCTTATTATATTTCTTGTTAGATATATAGTACATTAACTAAAACACATTTAATTTAGTTGGAGTTCCGGTTCTTAGTTAATCAATCTAATATTTTTTTGCTTTTGAGAAAAATATTTGGTCTATTTAGTATTGGAAGTTATGTCGATGACCGCATGAATTGTTTTTGTTACTGTGGCAGTGGGGTATGCGTTTTTCTACTACTTTTTTTTTCTTTTTACAATTGACTTAATCATACGTTTTTCCAATAGCTATTGTTAGCTAACGGAAAAATTACTTTTTTTATAATGATAACTAAATTCTGGAGTTCAAAATGATTATAGTAAAAATGTGTAAGAAACTTAAATCAGGGAAATTTTGACAATAAATTTGAAGGAGGTCGGAGGTCATGTTGAATTTAAATAAATAGTTTGGATTATTTTATGCACCCCAAGAACATTTATGAAAAGAAAATGAAGTAAATCAGTAACACAATAAAGTTAGAAATAAGTGTAACATAGGAGGTAGCAAAGTACAATGCAAAAGGTATGCCGATTTAGCCTCCACGGCAAAGGTAAATCCGGCCATTTTTTCTACCATTTCCAATCCGGACATGACACCTATTTATCGAACTAAGACATACTTCGATATAAACAATGGACCAAATAATTTTAACAGTACAACCTTGACTTATAATCATGAGTCTTAAAACTAAAACGAGTCTGTCTAGATATGAGATAACTATCATTTTTTGTTTATCACGATCACAGTATTAACAAGGCAGTCTAAAATTAATCGCGGTTACTTTATTAATAAAGTTTCAGGTTATTTTTATATACAAAAAACAGGTTTAGAATGTAAATATTAACAGTTATTTTGTTATGCGGTAATATTTTTTTAAATTCCTTGGTTTTTAGGTACTAAAATTAAGAAATTATAAGACTGCCTCGTTGGCCGAGTGGTCACAAGTGCGACTGCCGGGCAAGGGGTCTCGGGTTCGATTTCCGGGTCAGGCAAAGTATTACTGGGTTTAAAAAAATCTCAGTAGTAGCACGGAGTCTGGGGATGCGCCCGGTACATGGCAATAGGCTCACCCCCTATTACCATGTAATCACTTGTATTGTAATCAATTGACTCAAAACATAAAGTAGTGAAAAGTGGGTGTTACATTGTACAGTGGCACTAAGTTCCGTAATGTGCACCTCTGCCTACACCTTTGGGGATAAAAAGGCGTGATGTTATGTAAGAATTTATAACGTTAAGTATTTTGTGAACAATGGAGTTTTGCATTCGCGAGTTGGATATTTATGCCTATCACGCTCAAGAGGGCTCTGGTGGTTGCATTTCTTCAACTAAAATTAGTCTCTGCAATTTAAACTGACTTCTATTCATTCTCCTAATGGCTTAAGATGATTCATCTTCTGATTCTAATTATTTTGTATCTTTAATAATTCTACCGATTATATTGATTTTAACATAATCCCGTGTTTCTTTTTTAATTTAGATATCATTGTTTAAAATTGACTCCTTATTTTAAAAAAGGAAACATTAAGTGTTTACGACAGACGTACCGGAATATACAGATTGTAAAGTTACAGAGCTACGTCCTATCATAACAAAACTTATGAGTGTGTCAAGGACGGCAAGATGCTGATGAGATGATGGCAAAAAACTAGTTCGGAAATGATATTAACTCTTCCTTTGGTTAGATTAGGTTGCCTTAGAAAGTTTTCCTAGTAAAAAATAGTCAATGAAGTATAATGGACACCTGTAATGAAATGCATAAGTTTTGTTATTTGTTGTAGAAAAGCATACATTGCTCATAGATACCTTTTTTTTGATGACGGGGGAAACTTCCAAAAGGTACCACGCTTTTTGGGAAAAAAGACTAGGGACTTTTTGTACCTCACTAAAACCACCCCGATGGCCACCCTCAACACCTATAAGGGGCACCGGGTCCTCTGAAGTAACCATAGTACTAATAGGTACCAGGTTAAGAATGCTCGATACCGCGGTATTATTAAGTCATTGAGTGCCAATAGAAAACTTTTGAAGCCAAATTATCCACTAACATGCGTCGGTCATCGGTGACCCCCATGGCGTTTAAGGTATCAATTAATTTTTCATATCATTTTTCATTCAATTCAACAATAATGCTCAGCCACTTTTTTCTTTTAAAAACATAAAGAATATCGCCAAAGTGGTGGATGAGTGAATTGGTCCCTAGTCAGTATTTCTATAAAGTGTTTTCATAACTAAATTATGTTGTGCTCTCAAGAGAGATTGTTTAAAATGGGTGTCAAACACAGATATACAATTTGTGCCAAGCTTTGAATCGAGAACAAAAGGCTAACTTTACTTGACATTCAATTCGAAATGTTAACACTGCGCCATATTTTGGTACCTAATACCTACCTATACGTGTATATGCATGAGATCGTTCAGTCAGTATATAATAGGTAGAACTAGAATAATTTGTTAGGGGTAGACAGATTTCTGTCTGAGTCAAGTTAAACTAGAAAGTTCGAATCAAATGTTGAAGAAGTAATTGTAAAACCTGTAGAAGTGTAGATAAGTTTTAGTGTAAATTAGGAAGGAATTATCAAAATTTTCTCAGATTATTCGACAAAGATCATTGCGCTTAATTAATTGACGTAAGTACTTACTTTAAATTAGAATTATGGTACTCACTCTGATTCTTCGGCCAACACTTTCATTATACGTCGTCCTCTCCACTCGGGGTGTGTGGACGCTATTCTGAGTTCCATCATGACGTCACAACTAGCTGGTACCTTCTCCCACACCTTAGCCTCGTTGCTTAAATGGGTCAGTAGCCGGAGGATACGCTTGAATTTGTGATGGGTGCATTCTTCTGTTTTGTCTTCTTCAACGTCCTAATAAGAAGAATAATATTTTTTATAATAACTATCGTGAGACATACTAAATTAAGTAAAGAATAATATTAGTGGTAGCATAGAAAGCAAGTGTAGAAAGTTCAGTTAACCTGTCACAACATTATTAGGATTTTTTTTTTTAAGGGGGGAAAATCATCGAATGCCTGCTCCCGCCTGAGTGAGACGGGAGGGAGTGTCAGACTCTTACTGACTAAAAACCACCCCGTTCCTTCTCCTGCACGTCAGGTCGGAGCCCCGGTTACCCGTTGGGTTCTCCACGACAACATTATTAGGAATAAGGTATATTTACGAACTGTGTTAAGTACTTAAAATTAACTTTAATATCATCAAGAAGAAAGTTTTTAAGTAAGTATATCGGTGCAGCGTCTATTCACTTTTCAAGCCAAGTATTCTATTTTGCTTCATTCGCCAAACTTTTTAATTAAACATCCAGCCTATCTTGACGTTGCACTTAATAGACAACCAAAAGGCTAGTTTCCGCGTTTTTCCATGACTCCGATGTCGCGGAGGTTATTAGTCTGATTCAAATCCCGTCCTAATCAACAGAGCGAAACGTCTCGTCAAGCAGAACCCTTTCGTTTTCGCCCTTGAGTCGGTATTAATTGAGATAGAAAATTGAGGACATTCAGCAAAGTCCTTGACATATGAGGATTTATTGCCATGGGAACGAAGATTGGAAAGGAATCGAGTTTCTTGGAATTATTTCACTGTTTGCAAAACAGCTTGAGATGGATTGGATAGATGAAAGGAGAAAAGTGTTTCACGTGCGTATCAGATTTTCTGGCGAAAATCAACAGTAATGGGCATAAAAATGAGTTTAATTTAATGAATGTTGCTAGATACAACGAGCACTGTTGCCCGTATAACTTTTCATCGATTTTCTGCCGCTCGTAAATGAAAAGTTTAAGCTTGAGAGAAGTCCGACCCCGTTGTATATTAAATTATGAAACAAGATTTTAAATTAAAACTTGTACGGCTTGTACCTATTACTTTTTGTTTTAATTAAGCAATTTGATTAGAGTATCGCTTGGTGTTCTTCCATAAAAGTATTGAACGACACAATAATGTTATTTTTTGTAAGAAAGCTGTTTAGATTATTATGAAATCTTTATTTTGTATCTCACTATCATAGATAGATTGCGGTCTGAAACTCAATAGCGTTTGTACACCTGTAACTTAGCCATAAATTCTACCATAATCGGCAATACGAGGTACAAAATAGGAATCACGACGTACATTATTGTATTTAACTGATTGCTAAGAACAGAGTTAATTTAAACTGGATTGTTTCGCGCTGGGTAATCAACACCTGCGCGGAAGTTCATTGCTATTATGAACCTGTACACGTTCTTATGTGTCTAAGAATATATGGTTTGGCGACCATATTAGGGGATGAAAATAGTGCACCTGCCAGTATAAAAAGCGTGATTTTTAATACTAAACGGTTTGATATCAGTTTTCCTTGTTGGGTTAGTTCGACTGTTGGTACTATAAGACTATGAAAATTCGTTGTTTGATGAGCAGATGAACATCATTTCGTCATGGACTTCAGTACGTCGTGCAGCAGCTCACTGAGCGCGGCGAAAGCACCCAGCAGTGATATTAATACAGCTATTTTGTCACAGTAATAAACTTACGTTTCTGTTAATAATAGCGTTGATGACGACTCCCACGAATTCTCCATTATCGTCTACAGCAGCTAACGAAACTCCTTGGTCCAAAGAACTGGCTGCATATTCTTCTAAATCGATACATCGACTCGTGGGGGTCTCCAGTAGATTTACTGCTAGATTCATCGGCTCATCACGGAAGAAGTACCTGCAAAGGATTTTGAGTTTAGTCCAGAAATATTGTGTTGCTACAAAATTCTTTACTAGATTCTCAGCTTACTACCGGGCTAAGGTCTGGCAAAGAAATTAAGATGAAAAAAAAAAACGGATGATGAAGAATAGAATTCTGCAATGGTACACTGGTTTGGAAAGCATGTGAAGGTGTTTCTATATGTCCATTTGAGGTAAAATATAGTCGTGTTAAATATATTATGAGTCTTTCGCACACTAAAATAATGCAACACTTTTAGTATTGTCTTTCAATATCACGTAGGCGTTGGTAAACAAATTCTAATAAGATTTCAAAACAAGTGACCTAGTGTTAATTGACGGTATTTCTATGGGAGGCGATGCGTATTGTGTGTCTCCGGATGACACAAATAGACATGGTACTATTTAAATTGGTCAAAGTACAGTTCTAGGGCGTAGTATTTGAATGACGTCGTCGTAAATATGCGGAGTAGGTACAATATAAATTTTGTAATGAATGAAGATAAAATATATTAATTATACTTTCAGTGTCTTTGAAAATTAAGACAGGGACAAGGACTGGTCGTGATTGTCTTTATGATTTGGTCTAGTGAACGCAAAGAGCTATTGAATTGTGAAACAAGTGAATTTATTTCTGCAAATAGGCTACAACTCTACAAGGCAGCACTTTTATACGTCAATTTTATCAAGCGAACGATGAGGCGAAACGATGAACGATGAGAATTCTTGGGATTATCTGAATCTGAAAGTATTAATTGATGCTGTAAACGGTTTAATCAAGTAACTGGTAAATTGGGTGTAGATTGACTTACCTCCTTAGAAAATCAATTGTGCGGTCCTTATCTTTGGATGTGATGACTCTGACGTGGTATGCTGGTTCTATTATCTTCTTGATGCCATGCTCCGCAACCTGCTCTGGAAGCTTGTCGGCGAGCTGCAAGAACCAAATGATAAAAGAAATTAATAAAGTTTAATGTTAAACAAAATGTTTAATACTGAATCACGCCTAATAAACATTAATGGAGAATTAGACAAAGACCGACACCGTGAAGCAAAAGAGGTATGTAGGAATCGTAGCAATTGGCGTTCCATAGTCTCTGTCTTTCACCATGGGAGACAGGCATGAAGTTATGTATGTATTTTTTTTTAACAAATTTATTCATTGAAATTTTACATAGGTGTGGTCTTAAATCTAAACTCGCACAAACTTTGACGTTTGCTGGCGAGAGACGCTCATTATACAAACAATTTCAATTAGATATATCATAACATCTAGGTAGGTGAAAAGCATTTTTTTTTCTTAACACATAGTTACACTGTAACCTAAGCAGAAGATAGCAATAGTATGTAGTATGTATGTATAGATACCGTGATACCGTCTTAGTCTGGCGAATACTTACTAAATAAGATTATTACGAAGCTTCTGGTAGGTTGTGACGGGCTTGTTCCTTTAAAGAAGCTTCTGGTAGATAATATCTAGCTAATATTGACCATCAACTGTTTAGTTAAATACGATATGGTATACGAACACTTTCATCATGAACTTAATATAGGTTAGTGATAAAAATGGCAATAATTGAGAGTATTTAATGAATATGCTTTGTTTAACATTATCTTTAAAGCTGGGGACACCAAGGAATGTCAAGGTGTGGACTCTAGATCTAAATGGATAAATCGTTTAAATGCCATTTCGTTGCGACAGTCTCAGTCTTACTGCAGCCAAATGGTACTGGAATAATTATAATACGATCTAAGGAAACTTTGTTGTGTTTATTTCTTTAGTTGTAATTGTATGTCAATTGACTAAGGTTTGAATTATAAATTTTAGACCAGTAATTATTATCGTTGCCTGCCTCGTTGGCCGAGTAGTCGCAAGTGCGACTACCGGGTAAGGGTTCTATTCCCGGGACGGGCAAAGTATTACTGGGTTTTAAAAAAAATCTCAGTATCAGCAGGGAGTCTGGAATTGTGCCCGGTATATGGCAATAGGCTTACCCCCTATTACAAGGGACTCATAACGTAGTTAGTGAAAAGTGGGTGTTACTTCTGTGTGCACTTCTGCCAACCCCTTCGGGGATAAAAGGCGTGATGCATGTTACTTATTATCATATTAAGAGAATTGTGCGCTGTATGCTAGTTGCTTCCAACCAACCGATCTGAAGGTCGTTAGCCCAGCCTATGTGTAGCAGTTGACATAATCTGTGGCTAATAATGATAATATATATATATATTATATAAATATAATAATAATATATATATATAGAAAATAATATATATTGGTAACTTTAATTTCTTAGCTACCTATGTATATTATGTATATCTTATTTGTAGCCGTGTTTAACTTGGCATTGTAGCCGATGCAAGTTGCAACAGAAGTGAATGTGAGTGAGCTGAACGATGCTCAAAATAGTATAACAAAGTTCCCTAAAACTTGCACATAATCTAGACAAAAGTCACTAATTATGTCTGTATAATTACATTGTGAAGTTAGTATATTGTATTGATCATGAACTGGAGTATTATTCTGTCCAATATCTTCACATTAAAATATAAAATTACCTACTGCTTTGAGATCAAAAGTATCTACCTACTTATATTATTATACCTACAAAAGTAATAGCTAGAAATAGGTAAACACGGGCCTATCTATCGTCTAAACAACAGCACAGAGATTTGGTTGAAAGGCGAGATAGTTTGAGACCTAAAATAATACCGGAACGATATTCTTTAAAGATGTAAATTCAAAAAACGCATTCAGGACACGGGACAATCTAATAACAGGGTAGTTTCCAGGGTAAGAAAATTCAAAATCTAATTAGTCCGTCAGTTAGATAATGAAAAAATATTAGACACGTATTTTTTATTTTCTCGTATATAAAGGTACAATACTTAAATAAAATGGCGTTAAGTTTAGGAATGAGAGGTAGTTTCGTCATAACGTGGTACATTTTGTAGCACGCTGTGACGTCACGCTACATTTCAAATCAATATATCGTCAAAAGCATTTAATTTTGTGAGAAAAGAAAAAATACGTGTCTAATGTTTTGAAATAATCTACTTAAAATAAAATTTAGGAAACTACTCTATTCTAATGGGAGGTAACGTTGCTAAAAACTATTGCCAATTTCAAAAATATAGGTATCGACAGATATCTAAGCCATTGAGACCAGTATTTATTGATTCGTTTCGCTGTTTCATTAAAGTAGGCGAGTTTACAACGAAATTTAATTTAGTACAATGTTATTTAGACGGTAATGTATAGACACTTGTAGGTATTTATCACCTTATGACATTATTATAGCCGCCCTTTGCATATCTTGTGTCCGGCTTTGTCGCCTTGGCTAAATGCAATAAAATTACGCTAAACCTTTGTGCAGCTGAACTAAGCAATAGTCATAATGGGCGTATGTTTTATTTTTAAAACGATTAAATAAACGTGTTCTAAAAAGTTTTAAATAGGATATTTATTTCAATTCTTACGAATGTTTCGTGACACCGGAACGATGTGGAACTTGAATATTTGTTCTTTAGCAAAACAGTTTTGAGTACAAATAATATGATGTTATTTTTTTTTAATTAGCTGTGTCACATCTATGAGTAACTACAGTGCCTAGACACCGCGTTGGTGTCGCGGAGAACCTAACGGGTTACCGGGGCTCCGGCTCGACGTGCAGGAGAAGGAACGGAGTGGTTTTTAGTCAGTAAGAATCTGACACTCCCTACTAGGGTTGCCACCCGTACTTTATAATAAAGTATTGTACGTTATTTAAGGTAATTGTACTCTATACTTTATAAGAATAATAAAGTACACAAAAATACTTTATTTTTGCAAACTTCATTTCTATTAAAGTCGTAAGTATTTTTCGGTAAACTTATCGATTCCATATCGATATTTATCGATTTATGTTGAATCGATTTCGCCACTCGCCAGCGCCTCTTAGATAATTTCTAGTAAAGATGCAATTGTTTAGTAAAGATACTAATTTAATACAAACTGCAAAAAGCAATAAAAACATATTTTTAAATATAATACTAAATAAGAACAAATTGTACTTTATTTTTGTACTATGTACTTTTTTTTCTTACCTATAATCGTCAATGTACTTTAAATACCAAAATAAAAGGTGGCAACCCTACTCCCTACCGCCTCACCAAGGCGGGAGCAGTCATTCGATGATTAAAAAAAAGACACCACGTTGGTCCCTGTAAAACTAAGATTGAAGAAAATAATTGCAAAGTAAGGTAGGCAGTGAGTGAGTAAGTGAAGGTACCTTCATATACCTACAAGTCAAAATATTAATATCTACAAATGAATTAATAATCTGTCATTATACTCACAACTTTACGCCATTAGCTATTAACATTAACAATCTATGTATTTGTACACAGCAATACTGGATTGATTTAAATGCATTTGATTGTGAACTAATAGGTAATTCCGACCGCCTGTCACGATTAGCCAGCTCTAAACGCATTGTTACATGTTATTAAAGTTATGTACTACAGTTTAATATGTTTTATATAATATTGCGACTTTGTAACATAGTGTAGGTATAGATAGGATTACTTTATTGGCCGATTGGTATGAGCATGTCGAGTTTTATACCACGTCTGGCAAACAAAGTTGATATAAAATAGCAGTGGTGTGACTATACCGAGATTGTTTTTGTGGAATTTTGACTCCAATCACACTTGTTATAGAAGTCTTTTAGCTAAGTAGAATAATCGCTAATCAAACAGAACAGTAGAATGACGGAATGACAAAAATCAGTCTTTTCTGTGACTTTTCTATTCTACTCAACCGGGTCTGTAGGCTCTTGAGCTCCCTATGAAGGAACAACAAGCACATTACATAAAGAACCTTGTAACTTAATAATTAAGGTATTAATTACACAAACAGTTCTAGAACGGATGCAGAACGTCGCATAGACAGATGCATCCGATCATGAAACTCATCAATATAGGGCAATGAGTCTTTGTAACCGATTGATTGATATTTGCTAATTGTTCTCGCATGTTCTAGGCCTCATCAGACAACAGCTGTCAGATTTAGATTGTAATATAGTCAATAATACTTATGGATAACTCGATTCGCAGCGTGATTGGTAAACTGATTTGTAATTGTAATCATTATGGTTCTAGTAAATGATTCAAAAACTTTACTTAAACAAATGTAATAAAATTTATTGAGGAAACCAATAAGAGCTGTAAGTATGGGAGAACCATGCTTCGGCACGAATGCGCTGGTCCGACCGGAGTGATACCACGGCCTCACAGAAAACTGACGTGAAACAACGCTTGCGTTGTGTTTCGTCGTGTGAGTCGAGTGAACCTCCGACATCCCTCAAATTCCTAATCTCCAAAAAACCGGTAACGCGCTTGTAACTCCTCTGGGGTTCCAGGTATCTATGAGCGACGCCGGTTGCTTACCATTCGGTGATCCGTCTGCTCGTTTACCAGATTATCCCATTAATAAGCCTTCGCTTCAAGCATCAGGGCAAAATGTATAGTTTTTTATGGAATAGGAGGCAAATGAGAAGACGGATCACCAGATCGCAAGCGATCAGCGCCGCCCATGTACACCTACAACACCAGAGGAGTCACAGGTCCGTTGCCGGCCTTTTAAAAAGGAATACGCTTTTTTCTTAAAGGTTTGAAGGTCGTATCGGTTTGGAAATACCGCCGACAAATAAATTTGGATTTAGAAATTAGTAGCTCCTACGGAACCAGAACTGATGACGGATGACGTTTTTAATCTGCCCTATCGTGCATCTCTGCCTTTGATGTACAAAATACATGTTGTTGTATAAGGTATTTTTATGGCTAATACAAATTGTCTCGAATACTACAAAATGGGTAAGATATAGCTAATAATACATACCTAATTACTTAGACATTAAGCATACTTTATCAACTAAACACTAGACTAAAGTT